GTGCACGCACCCTATAGCAAAAACCTCTTAAAAAAAAAAAAGACACATCAGAAAATGTTAACTGAAGAATAAATGGTTGCCTAAATCAGTTGCCACAGGTTTTATGGCAAAAATAGCTTTACTAAAAATAAAACAGCCACTACATAACACTGAAAAAAAAGAGAAATTTACCAGAGAGTAATTCTCAACTTGTATGTGACTTAGAACACATGCTCCAAAAATCTACACTGGAAAGCTGCCGAGTTAAAAATCAGTGACACCACACTCAGACTGTGAGGTCTGAACAGAGCTCTCGCCAATGTAGCAAGGAGATCACAAGCAATAGGCAGCACCCAGGAGGGCAGGGCCAGGCGGTGGGCAGAGGCAGGTCCCGCCCAGAGAGGCCGACCCACGGGGCTCCGGGTTGTGTCTGGGCCCTCCCTGAGGACGCTGGGGACAGGCGCACCACGATCCGGCTGGCTGAGGTTAGGGGTAGGACGTGGCATGGAGAACCTGCTGGGTGCGCTCTCTCTGCCTCTCTGTTTCCCTTGCTCATGGAAGACATAGATAACACTTATTAAAAACTAGAAAGGTCATAAAAGGCTTAAACACAATTAATAAGAGGGGACCAGCAGGTGATGTGGTGGTTAAGGTGCTGGACACTCCCACATGGCTGACCATGGTTCGAGTCCTGGACCTGGTGGCTTGCTTTCTCTCTCTCTCTCTCTCTCGTCAAATTAAAATAAACGAATGAGTAAGTAAAATTACATAAATATTTTTTAAAAAGAAAAAAATAAGGATAAAAACACATACAGTAAGAGACAGCGGCTATGTAATTCCCCTCGGACCAGACCAGAGGAGGCCAGACCCTTTCACCTTGGGGGAGAAAAGGGTCGACAGACTTGAGAGTCCCTGGGGGCAGTGTCCACAGAACACACCTATGTCAAAATGTCTGCATCTATGTCAAACTCTGCCCTGAGAATGAAGGAACTGGCACCTCTTAAGACAGGGCATTTGTGGACCAGCAGTTAGCATAATGGCTATGTGACTGGACTCCCAAGTAGTCGACCATGATTCAAGTCCCGGACCCGATGGCTTAAAACTCTCGCCGGGTGCATGTGCGTGCATGCCCAAGATCCCGAGAGGAGAATGGAGAAGTGATTGCGGCGTGGCCATCCCCCTGCTGGGTGATGGGGGGTGAGTTCTCACTTTCTGTCTCTCTGTCTCTCCATTGAGTGCATGCGCCCTCTCACGAAGATCTCTCTTGAAGAGAGGACAGGACATTTGTTGCGGGTGATGCTGACCACCAGGCAGAGGCACTGGGTGAGACATGGTGCCTCACGGGGCGTCTCAGGGCCCTCCGAGATAAATATGATGACTCAACCCCTCCTTCCCCCAACAAATAAAGCAAAATAAAGAAAAAAAGAAGGCGAGAGAAAAGGCGTGTCTCTTACTGAATAGGATTTCAGGACCCGAGCAGGAAATGTCACCTCATCCAGAATGGGGGTGCTGTCAGCCAGGGAGACCTGGAGAGAGACGAGGCACTATCGAGCACGGGCTGCCACCGTGCCACCACCACCTGCCACCCAAGTCCCCAACAAGGCCCTGTCGGAGTGGCCAGTGGGCCTGGGGCGGAGGCCGGCACTCCCTGCAGGCCGAGTGCGTCTGGCTGCCGGGACCGGCTCACCGCCCAGCAGTGGCGTCAGTCTGTGGTGACGAGGACGCACCTGGTCTAACACCCTTGGGGATGCCTTGTTGGTGCCACCAGGGGTGGCAGTTGCCACCCTACTCTGCCCCACCTGCCTGTGTCATGGGGAGGGCCAGCCACCCACCTTCTGCGCCCTGCAGACCTCCTCTGCGGACCGCGCAGAGACGATCACGCT